CTCGAGGACCAGTATTGAAGACCACTGTTAGAGGTTTCTCTGCTCCAGCATTAATAAGTAATTAATAGGTTTATATTGGACATTAAGGCAATTCAACAATTGAATCAGGTGTGTTGAAACAGAGAACATCTAAAACATGGAGGATAGTGGCCCTCAAGGACCAGGATTGAAGACCACTGTTAGAGGTTTCTTTGCTCCAACATTAATAATAGGCTTATGCATAACATTGAGGCAATTCAAAAATTGAATCAGGTGTGTTGGAACAGAGAACATTTAAAACATGCAGGATAGTGGCCCTCGACCAGGATTGGACATCTCTACCGTATTTGGTGTTGTCAGAGGGCTAGAAAAAACTCGAGGAACTTCAGTATTTGCATTGGACCCAAGTCTACATCGTTAACCGCTGGGTTTTCGGTCTTGTTCAGTGTACTGCTGTTACCATACACACCTTGTTAATAGTATTCCATAGAGTTTTTTTTTTTTTGTTCTCCTTCATTGAGTTACAGCGGTTGCATTTTTCTGATAATTTATATGGATCTGTTTTAATAAAAATGGTTACTATTTTAGGCCAATGGACCTGTATAGAAACAGTGTAAAGCCAAGTTAACCAGAATATTTTTGACCTATTTTATAAAAATTAATAAAGTGTGTGCAATATTTTCTGCAGATACCAATGCTACCTACAGGTCAAAAAGAAGACTTTTGCCAAAGACATAAAAAAAAAAAAAAGTGCAACCTAGAACTAGGGAGGGACAGGTTATACTCAACCAAGTTCTTTTGCCTCCCATGTAGGATCCTTTTATTATCTGTGAAGCAAAATTCAATATGAAACATTTTTACTTGGTGACTTCTCATGTGAATATGTTTAAGACTCATGAATAAATACAATCTGGTTAAAAATATTCTCCTGTTGTTGTTCATTCAAAAGATCACAAAACAGGTGTGGATGTGCAGATGTGCACATAGCTCTTGGAAAACCATCTGAGCCTCTGTCTCATTGAGTTGTGACTGTTTGCAACTAATTTAAAGTGACAGAGAGTTTCCAAAACACAGTATTATAAAATGTTTGTGGTGTTAATTTCTATCCATCCAATATCTTTACCCGCTTCTTCCATTTTGGGTCACGGGGGTCGCTGGTGCCCATGTCCAGCAGTCACTTTGCGAGGGACGGGGGACACCCTGGACAGGTCGCAAGTCCATCACAGGGACACATAGAGACAAACGAGACAAACAACCATTCACTCTCACTCACACCTAGAGACAATTTAGAGTCACCAATCAGCCTAACATTCATGTTTTTGGTCTGTGGGAGGAAATCAGAGTACCTGGAAAAAACCCACGCATGCACTTAGAGAACATGCAAACTCCACCCAGAAAGGCCCCTGGACCGAGATTTGAACTAGGGTGACCTGCTCGCTGAGAGGCAGCAGCTCTACCTGTTGTGCATCCATGCTGCCCTCTTAATTTCTAAATTTTCCTTAATAGTATGATTCTGTCAGGACTGGCAAGCAGCTAAATTGATCAGTCCCAAATAGATTGCTGTCATCTTAATCTGAAGAGTTTCACGGCAGATCTAATGACACACCATTTATTAAGTCTTTCCATCCATCATCTTTCACTTGCTCTGGAGTCGGATGGTGGGGTCAGTACTCTATATTGTACTCTATATGTTGTCTGTCTAAAACAGGTTACCCTTGACAATAAGTTCTCGTGACTCAATGAGACTCCCTACTTCTTCCTGCTCTTCTGGGAGGATTCCAAGGTGTTCCCAGGCCAACCGAATGTCAGTCTCTCTAGCGTGTCCTGGGTCCTTGGGGTCGTCTTCTAGTTAGACATGCCCGGAAAATCTCCCTAACATTGTTAGGGTGCCTTGACAAGGTGTCCATGAGCTATCTTTACTAGATACCTGAACCATCACATTTGGCTCCTCTATATGTGAAGGAGCAGCTGTTCTACTCAAAGTTTGACCCCAGATAACTGAAGTTATCTCCTAATCTCTAAGGGAAAGTCCAGCTATCCTGCAGAGGAAAACTCCTTATGGCGGCTTGTATCCATGATCTTGTTCTTTCAGTCACTACCCAGAGTTCATGACCATAGGTGAGGGTAGGAGCATAGACCGATTGGTACACAGAGATCTTCTTGCAGCTCAATACACTCTTCACCACAACGGACCGGCACAGAGTCCGCAATACTGCAAAAGCCACACCAAGTCTGTCGGTCTCACACTCCATTCTTCTCTCACTCTAGCAAAACCCTGATACCTAAACTCCCCCACTTGAGGCAGAACCTCACCCCAAACAAAGAATTTTATGATTATTCGCTAGTGTATTAGCTAGCTCTAACACTACCGTTGTAGCCTAGAGCCACAATATGAATTTTTTTTCTGCCAGAAAATTTGGAGACACAAAATAGTAAGAAAATGCACAAGACATTCACTTAGAATCACTGAGAAATTTTTGGCAAAATTTTGCTTTAAGTTTGCATATGTATCAGAACTAAGTTTCCAGTCACCCACAATAACTCTGTTACTATTTTGAGGGAAATGTTAGTTGCACAGATTTTTTTTAATGTGCTGTGTGCAATTGGTCGCTGACCATCATTATTATCCACAAAGCATCTCCACTTCCTCCCAATGTTCAAAACAAAAGCCAAAATATATTTTTTTTCTGGGTACCACCATGTTGTATTTTTGGAACCAGAGGCACTCAGGATTGTTTGTACCAATGATACAAAAGACCCACATACACATCATCCCAACAAGCTGTGATGTCAATCAAAGTGCAACATGACACCTTTTTATAGCGTTGAAAGAAATTACAACGTATTTTTGAAAATGCTTATTTAAATACAGTATATGGCAGAAAGCTAAGTGCTATGCAAGTCAACAGAAAATCATCAGCTAAAAAATAATTATCTGACATATTTTTAGTTTTTAGTGAGGCAAATATCCCATTCATAAAAATGGAAGGGTGGAACTTAAAATTGTACCACAGCCAGACATTAGGGGGCGCTTGACCTATGTGGCTTCAACTTCCTGCTTCCTGTCCTGTGTCTAGTTATAGGTTGATGTCACTGACAGTCATAGCTCAGTGAGATACTAGCTTAAGAGCTAGCTTTTTCAAGAGTCAAGTTTAAAGTCAAAATCTGCCCATGTGGTTCAAGAATGAATAAACTGGACCAGCCCTGCCCATTGACGAAATGTTCATCTTTTAAAACAGATGGTGGAAAAATACGGTTTATCAAACGTCAAGCACTTTGTAGGTTTCATAAAGACAATTTAAACTGTGCAGTTGTGTTTTAAATATCAAAAAGTACTACAAGAAAGAAAAAAAAAATACAGCTACAGCCTAATGCTTTTGAAACGGAAAAAATAACTTCAAAGCAGATAAAGGAAGAATTGGCGTTAGTACACTGGTACAAATCTGACACAAGTTACAGACTGTAAAAGTCTTAGTGCTGTAAAATATTAAAGTCTTAAAGGTTGAATCAGTAGTGCTGGGAGTGTTTGGGCAATTTAGATAACTGTGTGTGTGTGTGGTTTTTCTAAGTTAGCCCTCATATCAGGGTTTTTTGACAACTTGGTGACATGTCTATCATAAATATACTGTCTCGTGTTTTTAAAGGCTGTGATACTGGATATGTGAGTTCACGTGTGTGTGTCTTTGTGTGAGACACCTCTACAGTAGGTGTGCTTGTTTATGTTACTTTGTGAGGACCATTTTCAACATTTTTTTTTCAACAGTTTTTTTGAATGTCCAGAGGACCAGATTTAACTTTTTTAGATTTTTCTACCTGGATTATTGAGCATGCATCAGGACATTTTCAACACAGTACATTGTGAGGACCAACTGTTCTTTGTGGGGACCAAAGCCCGGTCCTCATAAGGTTCAAGTGTCGTTGGTGGGTTAGGGGTTACGTTTAGGACTAAGGTGTGAATTGAGGATGGGTTCGGTTTAGGGTTAGGTATGTACTGGTAATGGTTAGGTTTAGGGTTAGGTATGTACTGGTAATGGTTAGGTATGTACTGGTAATGGTTAGGTTTCGGGTTAGGTATGTGCTGGTAATGGTTAGGTTTAGTGTTAGGTATGTACTGGTAATGGTTAGTTTTAGGGTTAGGTATGTACTGGTAATGGTTAGGTTTAGGGTTAGGTATGTGCTGGTCCTTCCAGTTGCACAAAATTAGCCTCCTGGCCAGAAGAGAGCCAAAGACAATCGCATTCCTTTCACATTTGCTGAAGGACATATCCACAGGGACTACCCCGAACAGTAAAATGAGTGGTGATGTGTGTACAGTTTTGCCACATATTCCAGAGAAAGGATCAAATGTAGATTGCCAAAAAGTCTGCAGTTTGGAACAGGTCCAGAATGTATGCAGGAGTGTAGCTGGAGTTTGTTTGCAATGACTGCATGCTGGGTCCAGGTTGGCTTTGATCTTGGATAACTTGTCTTTGGACCAGGGAAATTTTTATTTTTTGTGAGATATGAATATAACTAAAGCTCCTAAATGCTCCTACTGAAGAGATATTTAAGAGCCGAAGGAGCCATTTTGTTTTGTTAAGCTGAGATAAATGAAGCCAGAAGTTTGATCACTAAAGGACACTAACTTTGGGTGAATGTTTTAGGACTCTTTAAAAGATTAGCTTCATCGCTGAAGCCATTTTTCTCAGTGAACTGATTGAAGTTCTGGTTTGAAAGCGGTCCTCACACCTGCTGATCGTCAGTCAATTACTACTTCATTGGTAGAACATGGCTGCTTTCCTTCTATGAAAACAGTAAGTGTTTTCAGACAAAGCTTCTATGTTTTGTCAAAAAAAAAATTAAAAATAAAAAAAACCCCAGATGTTATCACTTTTATTACCATAAAGCTCAGATGTAAAACAGTTTTTTGGTGAACACAATTGGTTTGGTCAGTTGGTTTAAAAGACATAAATGTCATTTTAAATGTCAATTTTATAAATGTCGTTAAGGCCAGGCTGATTCTGGCAGATCCTGATCACCCACTCCATGGTAAGTTCATGTTGCTTCCATCTGGCCACAGGTATTTGAAGCCCAGATGTACCTGTAGGATGAACAGACTGAAAAACTCATTAATTCCTGTAGTGACCCGGCTTCTCAGCAAACGATGATTTTTGTACTGTTATTTTAATGTCTCAATGTCTTGTCTAGTATGGATGTTTTGTTTGCCTACAGACTGTGAAACAAACTGCCCCTTGGGATAATAAAGAGTCTTGAACTTAAATGGGTACTTTTGTTGCATTGTTACAGTTTTTCAGTGATTGGTTTTATTAGAATCAAAAGCAAGCTTTTATCATTTGTCCTGACTGAGGCACTTTATCTGTAAAGCTAGATTGCACTTTTTCCTGGGTCATAAACTAATTACTGTCGCACAAACATACACACGCATACAGGTGGGTGTGATAAGGATGGACAGACTTTGCAAGGAAGTTGGGCCAAGCTGTTGCTTGGTTCCACAGTCCAGCATCATTGGGCGTAGCAGTTGGTGAATAGGAGGTTAGATAAGGACCTGCCAGGTCTCGACTTGGTCTGTGTGTCTCAAATTTGGGCAGGGATCAGCCATCTCCATCCCTTGTTTTGTTAAAAGGATTCGTTTGGAGACGTTGGGGCCCCCAAAGTCGACACACACAGCAGCCATGGCAGGTGAGTGCTGGCACTTACATTCTGGGATTCCTTTTTTCAAGCATAATTACCCTTAGTAAACCTATTTCACCTAATAGTTTGAAGCTTTTGCACTACTATTACTACTATTATTGCCTGTTATATTTGGTTACGGTCTTTATTTGGATCTTACACAAAGAGAGCCTTATCTAGTCTTTTTTTCTACAGGCAATGATGAGCTAAAGAGACCCAAGAAAAGAACAGTAAGTTGATCAATGTAGTGACTGAAATGTGTATAGACAAATATGTTTGGTCATTTTAACTTGTTTTGTACCTTCACTTTTCTTCCAAACAGGCTACAGTCTTCGGCTACCCAATAAGCATTTTCTTTATTGTGGTGAATGAGTTCTGTGAGCGTTTCTCCTACTATGGCATGCGAGGTGAGCTACTTTCTTCTGTCTGATGTCGTTATGAGGCTGTCTTTAGGCACTGCCATTGTGTTTGCTTGGTTTGAAAGCCCTGATTTAGCAATGTCATGTCAAATGTATAGAATTCCCATGAAAAACCTGGTTCAGTAAAATATACAAGTATTGTCTGATCAAGTATCTGACCAAATGTTTTTGAGTCTTTCCCATAATATTAAAGTTTTAAGAATGATTTTAATAAATGTGTATTTTCAAAGTTAGGAAATAAAGGTTTCCAACTATTTACTGCTTTTTTCCTTGAACGTTTGGAAAGGTTTATTGTTGGTTTCCATCCAGTCATTTTTGGCATGAATGTCATTATTTTGGACTTTTAATTATTTGTTGGAACATTTTCTCTTCCAAGGGAATTAAACCAATTCATTGATTTTCAAAAATGAGTTACAGACTCAAATATATCAAAACATCCCCACTAATATTTTGGTAAATGACCGTTCGCAAGTTGCACCTTGACCACAGGCATTTTGTATTTGTCAATAGGCTTCAGACATCGTTCTGCTTGGTTATTTGACTTATCTTGGTAGAGTTGGTTCATTAAAACTGGTTGATCTTCTGGCACAGACTTAACTCAGTCATAGTCCACACATTTTCCACCAGGACAAGGTCATGGTAGCATAAATGCATGTTTTATCCAATCAGAAACCAGTTCTGTTGTGTTTGGGATCATTGTCCTGTTGGAACACCAATTTGTTTTCAAGTTTCAACCGGCTAGCTGTTCATTTGAAGTGAAGCTGAAGAATGTGAAAGTTCTCCTTCTTTATTCCATCTATGATGCTACTACCATGCCTGATGGTACACTAGCTGTTCTTTGGGTTGAAAACTTTCAACATACTTCTTCATTGTGGCCAAATAGCTCAATCCCAGTTTCTCCATATGACATTCGGCTTGTCCATTCAACTTGAAGGTGTCTTTGATGAAACAGGAGCTTTTTCTTGGTTGATATCCATTCAGACCATGGCCATATAAACCTTAGTGTTCCAGAAGTTTCCAGTTCATGGCAGAGTTGAGCCTTGGTGGCTCTTGGGTTGTTTCTGAACATCTCAACCAGTTTCATCCGACGGCAACGTCTAAGTATTGGTCAATTCAATAAGTTTGTGCCCAAAATTATTATTACATTCATGCTCATGAGGTAAAATAAATGTCTGACCACAACTATTATGTATAAAGCAACATAAAGTAGCACAAGTACTTCCAAACTGTGCTTATGCTTTTTAAAAAGTAATGTATAAAATGGCCAAAATCTTGACCAAATGTTTCCTTTGTACTTTCCCAAATTTGCTGCTCCTGTTACTATGCCTCTGCAGCCGTGTTGGTGTTGTACTTCAAGTACTTCCTGAAGTGGGATGATGACTTTGCCACCACCATCTACCACACCTTCGTTGCTCTCTGCTACCTGACGCCCATCCTGGGAGCCATTATCGCTGACTCATGGCTTGGAAAATTCAAGTTAGTCTCAAAAAACAGTTTAACAAGATGACGTTGTTTTCTCAAGAAGCATGGCTAATAACCCCTAATAAGATATTATTACATAAATAAATATATATTTTAAATATCTTAACATGTTTTATGGGTAAAAATGAGTTTAAAACAGAAATGGACAAGAATTTGTTTAATACCATTTTGGTTTAGTTGAAGCAATCAAACATCGTCACACTTAACTAGAAAAATATTCTTACAGGTAAGACTTTTTAGGCTTTTCTTTTCCATTGATGACACGTTTCTTGCATAATTAGCATGCTTGGCCAAAATAATTTTTTTAAATTCAAGTTCAAGTATCCTTATTATCCCGAGGGGCAATTAGTTTCACAGTCAGTAGATATAAAACATCCTACACAAGAAATTAAAACAACAATATGGAAGTCATCAGTGTTCGTACATCTGGGCTGCAGATACCTGCATCCAGATGGAAGTAACCTGAGCTCACCATGGAGTGGGCGATCAGGATCTGCCAGAATCTGCATGGCCTTGTTCACTGACCTCGCTTTGTGTGGGTCAATGAGGTTCTGTAGGACTATGCCAGCGGTTTTGCTACACATCCTGACAATCCTCGAGAGTTTGTTTCTGTTCTTACGTCAGAAATCCAAACCAACAGATGAAGGTGAAAGTTAAAAAAGACACAATAACAACATGAATAAAACATTCTCATAAAAGTCGAATCAACATTAAAACCACAGAGCTTCCAATAAAAATAGATTCACTGGTGGGCCTTTTTACAAAGTGAGTTCACGTGGGGGTCAAATAAACAGTAATACCCTTAAAAACAAGAGACAAAATAGCTAAATGGTTAAAAGTTGCCATATTTAATCTTTTTCTAATCTTCAAACTTTGCATCTTTTTTACAAGATATTCCAGGAAACAGGAGAAGGTAATAATGTCCTGAGAGCGCACGCTGTAGCTGCACTCATGCAGACATGTAGGAGGAGATGTATGAAGCCAACAGACCAAGAAGTGATTTAAAGATGAAAATGTACCAGTGAGAGAGTCTGTGTGAAGTTAATGATGACCAGTTAACCAGTGAATACTGGGTGCAGTGGTAGATACGGTAGTTACAGCCAGTTATGAATCTTAGTGCACCGTGATAGACAGCATCCAACATCTGCAGGGTTCTTGTAGGAGCGTTCATGTAAATAATGTCACCGTAATCAATGGAGGGAAGGAAAGTCACAGATACAGTCAGAGTCAGAGTTTCTTTATTGTCATTCGCACCTCATGTGGTACATGTGGTGGAGCGAAATTATGTACACAGGGTCCCAGTTACATCCAACAATAAAATGTAAAAGAAAAACAGTAATAAAATCTAAGATACTATAAGATAGATCTAAGATAAGATTACAAGGTGTTTCCTAGCATTCAGAGTTAGACAGGATCTGTTTCTGAAAAAGAAACCCAGTTTAACTTTGAGTTTCTTTACTAGGTTTTCTACGTGGAGCTTAAAAGAGAGATGTGAGCCGACCAAGATACCCAAATATTTATAGGAATTGACTAACTCAATAGGGACTCCATTTGAGGGTAAAATCAGAGGAAGAACTGCTGGGACTGACTTCCTGTTTGAAAAAAGCATCCCTTTGGTTCTATTGGCATTTAGGACAAGTTTGAGATGGAGCAAATCAGACTGGATGATGTCAGAGGTGGATTGCAAAAGCTGGAAAGCCTTAGCAACTGTTTTAACTCGACAATAAACAACTGTGTCATCAGCATAGAAATGTAAGGATGCATCAGGGATGCTCTGACCTACAATACCTATGTAGATTGTAAAGAGGGTGGGTCCTAAGACTGAGCCTTGTGGTACACTATTGTTGAGTGTTAAATAACTGGAGGAAATACCATTATATTGAACACATTACCTCTATCTGAAAGATAGTTAGAGAACCAACCAAAAGTGTGTTCTGAGAAACCGATTTCTGAGAGCTTATGACACAAGATGTTATGATCCACAGTGTCAAAAGCTTTAGACGGGTTTAAGAAAAGTGTGGCACAATAATCCTTAGCATCCAGTGCTTCAACAATGTCATTAAAAACGTTCATTTAAGCAGTCGTGCTGTGTTGTTTCCTGAAACCAGATTGATGGAGAGATAAGATGTTAAATGAGTCCAAATACTTTTTGATTTGAGATTTTATCAGTTTTTCTAGAACCTTGGCTAAAATGCAGAGTTTAGGGATTGGTCGATAGTTGTTCAGTGAGGTGGGGTCACCTCCCTTCAGCAAAGGATGAACAAAGGCTGTTTTCCAAGCATCTGGAATGTATAAATAAAGGTTGAATGAATGAAAAGATGACGTTAGGATCTGCATTCTGCAGAGCGTAGATTTGAGATCATTGCTGATCGCTGCTGTATTCCGTGATAGATACGCTCTTATTTTCATCAGTTTGGTTTGGCTATAATTCACACGTATAAAGCGTGCGGCGTCAGGCTCGAAGTCTATTTCAAAACTCAGCTGGCGCTCAGACTAGGTGTTGAGGATGAATTTCAACTACTACCACATCAAACTTCAGCTTAGTGTCTGCAACATTGCCTACGCATGGCCATTTTTGTGTTTGCTAACATTAATTAGCTCTGCTGGCCATTCAGTGTACAATAAATGTTGACTTTATGAGAGTTTCATTCAAACCTGTCCAATGGTTCATAGATGTTTTGCTAACATATAAACGTATTTGGAACATTTTCAACATGGTCATGTGATCACATGTGATCACACGTGATCACGTTTTGCCACATATAAAGTGTTTTTCTGTAGGGGAGGGGTTAAAGCATATCTCTAGGAGTCACCTTTTATAGTTTCATGTTAGATTTGTTACCTTTATCTTATCTCCTGAAGCTGATGTCCACATGTTCCACTCCTTGAACTTCCCTCCCTCCCTCTGTACAGAACCATTGTTTACCTGTCCATAGTGTATGCGGTGGGACAGGTCATCATGGCGGTGGGTGCGATCCATGACATCACAGACCTAGACAAGGACGGCACACCTGACAACATGACCTTCCACATGTGAGCTGAACACACAAAAAGCTGTATGAAGTGACAAAACCAAGCTTTATATTTGGCGTTAACATTTCGTCTGCTCTGTGATTGGCCCCCAGAGCTCTGTCCGTAGTGGGTTTGATCCTCATTGCCCTGGGAACAGGAGGAATCAAACCCTGCGTGGCTGCCTTTGGAGGAGACCAGTTTGAAGACGATCAGGTTAGATGTTGATCCAGCCGTAACAGTATGATTTCAGATATCAGACCTTTTTAGTTGTCAATGAAATAACTCCAAGTTGTTGCTTCCATGGGCCGATAATGCACTCACTAAATTCACAAGGCATATTGCAAACCTTAATTAAAATGTATATCAGTCAATGCCGACAGACCACAGCAACTTACTCCCATAGAGCTGTGGTTTTATGAGGAGGTTCTGGTTGGATTTTTGTTCTTATGTTGTCTATTTTTTACAAGAGATCCTTCCTGTTCACAGCCATCAGCATCTATAACAACTCTTTAATGAAACCAGGATGATGAGTTACCACAACATATACTTTCCTTCTGGGATTAATAAAGTATTTTTGAATTTGAATTTTATCTAGAAGAGGATATTGCTTCTAATATCTAAACGCCCTATACAGTGTGTGGCCTATTTCACTTGCTTTCTCCTGCTAAAACGGACTTAATAGCCTTTACATTAGCCAGGAGGCTAACACTGCTAAATTGGAATTGGAAACCTGCAGTTCCACCTACATATACAAACTGGATTAAAGAAGCCCTTCATTTTCTCAAATTTGAAAGAAAATCATTCCAGTTATTTGACACGTTAGTGCCTCCTCTGCCAATTCACAATTCACATTAGAGCATAATAAATAATCCAATTCACTCCAATTATAAACCAACCCATTCAAGGTTATTTTGGTATAATGAGGTTCAGTTTTTTGGTATTTATTTCTGTGACAGAGTGTAAAAGCCTGTCAACCGTGGTGTCCTCAACCAGAAAAGGCTTACTCACCAACTCCTGGTTGGGACTGAACCACAGCCCCATGTGTAGATGTCAACATATCTTGGTTTGGTTCATGAGTGGGGGTAGAATGGAGTAAGAGGTTGATATGTAGGTAGATTGGGACAATGTCTGTAGATATGCAGACACTGTACTGATCTACTGTGATGAAGAAGGAGATGAGAAAAAAAATCAAACCTTTGAAAGTCTATGTTCCAGTGAGGACCAATAGTCCTGAGCTTTGGGTAAGGACCAAAAGAATGATGTACAGAATACACTCAGCTGAAATGATGTTCCTCTGATATTTAGGGACAATGTAAGGAGCTCAGAGTAGAGTTGCTGCTTATCTCTATTGAAAGCACCCAGTTGAAGTGGTTTGGGCATCTGGTAAAATGCCTTCCACATGAGGTGTTTCAGACATAATCCATTTGGATGGAGACTTTGGGACAAACTCAGGAATTGATGAAGACATTTCATCTTACATCTGGCCTGAGGAATGTCTTGGGCTCCCTCCAAATGAGTTGGAAGAGTAAGCTTGGGAGAAGAAGGTCTGAGGACCTCTGCTTATGTGATTCAGTCTTGGATAATCCTCAGAAGATGGATCAGGAACTCAACAAACTGCATCTTCAATTTCACCCCATTTTCTTTCTTCAGCATGATTGCAGAGTGCAAAAGTAGTTGTAAGAACAATTTTGCTGTGGAAACTCCTTCAGAAAAACTAATTAAGGAGCAAAGACCAGCTGGGGTTAAAACATATTCCTTCATTTATAGATCCATTAGACAAATATACCCATAGGTTCTCTTGTTGTATTATTAGGACATACATTTTTACAATACACCAATCAGTCATTACCAACAGCCTGCCACTGAATTGGTACATATGTTGACATCACAGAATCTTAAGAACACGGACTCTACAAGATTCTGGTCATAACTTTTATGGACAGAATTTCTCGGTGCAGCCATGGGGCGGAAGGTTTCTGGTTCGGTGGCCTCAGGCTTCCACCTCTGCTCTTTGCAGATGATGTGGTCCTGTTAGCGTCATCGTGCCGTGATCTTCAGCTCTCACAGGAGCAATTCGCATCCAAGTGAAGCGGCTGGGATGAGAATCAGCACCTCTACATCTGAGGCCATGGTCCTCAACCAGAAAAGCATGGATTGCTCTCTTCGGGTTGAGGGTGAGGTTCTGTCTCAAGAGACAGAACCTGACTTCAGAAAAAGCAGAAGATGATGGATGGATGGACTCTACAAGACCGCTGAGGGTCAGCTGTGGTTTCTCACACCATCAATAACAGATCCTTTATGTCCTGTAGGTTGTGAAGTAGGGATTCGATTTGTTTGTCCTGCATGTCCAGTAGATGCTTGACTGGACTCAAGTCAGGAAAATTTAGTCAGCATCCAAGACTTGTGTTCCTCAAACTAGTTTTAAACTATTTTTGATATTTGTTGGAGGGCATTGTCATGTTGAATGAGGCCATTGCAGTGAATGTATTTAGGTACCCTGACGGATCTGCAGCTACATAATCCCAGATGCAACAAAATATGATGCACAGTGTTTATCCTGCTACATTTTCATCAGCATATTTAAACTGCATAGGTCCTTTATTAGATTAGACACCATGGGACATCATTTGATGAATATGTTCACCCTGCTGTCAGATTACTGGTTTTCCTTCCATTGATCATGTTTGGTAGCTCATTAACAAAACACAACCCAGAATAACCACAGTAGCTGACACCGAATTGTCTAGCCAATAATATTTGGCATGTTAGGCACAAACTCCAGTTTAACTTCATGTGAAATTCCTTATTACCGAGATACAACCTACAAGACAAAAAATGAAAGGAAACTGAATCAAGTCCTCTGCACAAAAGGAAAAACACAAACGTATGTGTTTTTTTTAAAGGTGTGTCATTTTTTGTTGTGTACAATGACGTGTATTATGATGCAGAGAACTGTACACGTAGACACTGACCTTTTCCTTCTGACATTAGTCTGCTATCAGTTTATCTGCTCGGCATGTCTTGTATCTCTGTTCCATCTGTTAGTTGTTTATTAACTAATAACCATAAGTACAATTGACTTTAACTTTATCACCATGTTCTGGGTGAAGGACAAAGATTGCAGCCGTAATGTTACCAATGCATATGAGACTGTGTTATTATAAAAATCTTCTCAAATTTAAACGTGAGAATGTTTACTAGATGATGAACCATGTTTGCAAGGGTGTTTCTTAAATGTCTCAAAGCGTTGGCGGAGCTTTTCAGATTCCTTGAGCTCGATTGCCTTGTGAGATTTTTTTTAACCCCATTCTTCAAACTGTGATTGTTCATACTACTGTTTACTTCAATGAATACTGTCTTGAGTAAAAAGTAACTTGTTGAATTTGCCATGTCTTCCAGGAAAAGCAAAGAAGCGCATTCTTCTCCATATTCTACCTGTCTATCAACGCAGGAAGTCTGCTGTCCACTGTCATCACCCCCATACTCAGAGGCAAGTCTACATCTGGAATTGGATCATGAGTACTCCACATACTGTGAATCCCTTTGTCATATGCAGTATTTAACAGTGTTCTGTGGTTCTCAGCTCAGAAATGTGGTATTCACAGCCAGCAGCAGTGCTACCCGCTGGCCTTTGGTGTCCCTGCTGCTCTCATGGTGGTCGCTCTAAGTAAGGTTTCAGACATGCCTTGTGACATGTGCCAATGGTGACTTAATGAAATGAACTGTTCAGTGAACACAATAGATTGTAAGAAATGCATTCTGTGTGTGTGTTCATAGTTGTATTTATCGTTGGGAGTGGGATGTACACTAGGGTTCCTCCAGCTGGAAACATTTTGGTGAAAGTATTCTATTGCATCTCGGTAAGTGGCTCCTCAAAAAAACATTTCAAAAGAATAAGCATTTCCTTACTGATGGGCTTTCTGTTGTCTGCAGTTCGCTGTCCAGAACCGCTTCAGACATCGTTCTTCTGTGTACCCCAAGAGAGAGCATTGGATGGACTGGGCTGAGGAGAAATATGATGTGGGTGCAGATAGCTGATGTAAGCACAGGCAAATATGAACTTCGAAATGAAAGAATTAATGTGATTGTCTCTTTGTTGGTTTAGAAACTCCTGATTGCCCAGGTGAAGATGGTCCTGAAAGTGCTGTTTCTCTACATTCCACTGCCTATGTTCTGGGCTCTCTTTGACCAACAGGTAGAGTTGCACTCGGGTCCAAATAATCCGAACCGACTCGGCCCCAGCCCGTAGCCATCATCTCCGAACCCCACCCAATCCATCGAATTAACTGTAATTACAGGTCCGAATCTGGACCCCCCCCCCCCCCCCCGACATTTTTAATTAAGCTTTGACTGCCTATACCATCGACTATTATTAATGGTTGGCAGGTGCGGGTGGCTGAGAGGGCAGAAGATCAGAGCTAAAGAGCCATGAAAGCACATTTAATGCTTCCCATGCTTCTGCCTGCATCGGACCCTGTTCTGACATGTCGGATATTTTGTGATCTCACCTGTTTGGGTCTCAGCCACTGAGTGCAGCGGCTGAATGAACCTCCATTTGGGCTGATGGATCGCTGGCAGTAGTCCATCTGAACTGAACTTTTTACCTCTTTAAACCAGCTGGTCAGCACGCGGTCAAATGGCCGTGTGCGGCAGGTGCAGTATGGCAAGACACGTTTGCATATATTGGATCGTCGGCCGCGTGCGTTCCTGACGCAATAAAAAGCCCAACACCGGCCCGGCCCACACATTAAGCACATTATTATGGCCCGGTCCGGTCCAAATCGGGGTCGGGCTCCAGGTTCGGGTTAGAAATGACAGCTCTACCAACAGGTAACAACATCCTCTGTTGGTGATAGTCCGACTCTACATGTCTACACTGAAAAATTATCCCTTTTTTAAATAGATCATGGTTCTATTATCAAGATAGTTATTTAAGACTCAAGAAAGCCAATTTTAGTATTAACCTGTAGAGGTTTCTATTGACTTAATATCTAGAATAGAGGTGGGTCTTTGTAACAAATGGAGGAGTTCAAGTATCAAGGATTGGTCAGTGATGGGTCAACATATAGGGACATTGTCTTCAGTTATGAGGGTGTTGCTCCAGTCTGTTTTGAGGAAGAAGGAGCTCAACTGAAAGGCAAAGCTCTCAGTTTATTTGTTTGTCAGCTCTAACCTTCACCTACAGTCATGATTACGGGTCCTGACTGAAAGAACAATATCCTGGATCCAAGTGGCTAAACTCAGCTTCCTCTGAAGGATTGCTGAGCTAAGCCTAGGAGATACAGTTAGGAGCTCCATCATCCAGGGAGAGCTCAAAGTACTGTAGAGCTACTTCTACTCATTAAGAGTCAGAGCCAGCTGAGGTGGTTTGGGTATCTGATTATGGCGTCTTCCTCTAGAGGTTTGCTGGGCATGTCTCACTAGGAGGAGACCCAAGGACAGGCCTAGAACTCTCAGTTCAATTCAGTTTCAATTCAGTTTATTTATATAGCGCCAAGTCACAATAGAAGTCATCTCAGGGCACTGAACAGAAACATTCATATGTAAAAGTAAGTTAACAGAAACGTCCATAAATAAAAATAATAATTTTAGACTTTATCTGAGGAGCAGACTGCTTTGAGTTGAACTCCATCACAGAACTCTCATTTTGAGCAAGCATGAAGGCGACAGTGGAAAGGCAAAACTCCCTCATGAGGAAGAAACCTTTAGCAGAACCAGGTTCAGGGCAAGAGGCCATCTGCTTTGTTTGGTAGGAATAGATACACAATGGCAGGTCAAGAATCACATGTTAATATAGAAATAATACCAAATATAGTATTATTATATTATTAGTATTATATTATTAGTATTATTATTATAATATATAATATAGTATTTATCAAAAAAGTCTTAAACTCAGTCTTAAAACTGGACAATGTGTCAACCTTACGGACAGTATCTGGAAGTTGGTTGCACAAGAGAGGAGCCTGATAACTGAAAGATCTTCCTCTCATTCTGCTTTTGGAAAATATAGGAACTGAGAGAGAGCCTGCCATCTGAGAGCGAAGTGCTCTGTTAAGAAAATATGGAACAATAAGATCTCGAATATAAGATATCGCTAGGTTGTTGAGGGCTTTGTAGGTTAGAATTAAGATTTTGAATTCAATTCTGGACTTGACAGGGAGCCAATGGAGGGAAGCTAAAACTGGAGAGATATGATCTCTCCTACTAACTCCAGTTAAGACTCTGGCAGCAAAATTTTGGATTAACTGAAGACGTTTTAAAGAAGTATTTGGACAGGCAGGATTACGTATCGTATGTGGCCTGGGAACACCTTCAAATCCCCCAGAATTTCAGGAGCTGTAGAGTGTTCCTTATAAGAGGGATGTCTGGGTTTCCCTCCTGGACCTATTGGCTCCACGACGCTCCTAGATAAGCATCAGAAAATGGATGGATGGTATTTCATTGGAAAGTAGAATATAAAAACTAAACAAGAAATATGTCTGATCCTCAGGGCTCAAGATGGACCCTTCAGGCCACCACCATGGATGGCAACTTTGTAAGTGTTCTCTCTCAAACCTTAACTTGCGAGTTGAAAACACCAAAAAAATATATGTAAATGAAGAATGTATTTTTCTTTTTAACAGGGTTTGATGGTAATCCAGCCGGACCAAATGCAGGTGAGACTCTTGTCTTGAATCTTCTTGGCTGCTGAACTAAACTGATGAAACAGAAAACCTCATACTGACCCAACTTCTTCCTACCAGACTGTCAACCCGATTCTGATCCTGCTTATGGTTCCAGTCATGGACAGCGTGATCTACCCATTGATTTCCAAATGCAAATTAAACTTTACGTGAGTTTGCTCTTTGGTATTCTTGTCTCTCCAATCATGTAATTGGCTTTTCGGTACTCAAAAAAGGACCAGAAATGTCCTGTTCCAACAAATGTTCAAATGTTTTTCAGGTATGCAATGCAGAAATCAAAATGTAATTTTAAAAGAAAGGAGGAAAAAACATATTAGGTTAAATCTGTCAAAAATGAACTAATTGGTTAGCAGTGGTTCCCAACCCTGGTCCTTGAGGAACACCATCCTGCATGTTTTAGTTGTTTCCCTGCTCTAACACACCTGATTCAGTGATTTAATTACTTCCTCGTGCTCTGCAGAAGTCTGTAAATCACCCATTTATTAAAACTAGGTGTGTCAGAGCAGAGAAACTACTAAAACATACAGGATGGCGTTCCTCAAGGAACAGGGTTGGGAACCCCTGGATTAGTGAATATAACGATATCTATGATCACAGTTTTAAAACTTAATCTGGTTTGAAGTTGTGCAAGTTGTTCATATACAGCCTAAAAATGCTAAAAAAAAACAACAACAAAAAACAGTAATAATAAATAAAAAGAGATGGTTTCAGGAAAATTGAGAAATTTGTACCATTCTGTCTTTCTTGCTTTATTTTGATCCTGTTATCAATAGCTGTTGCGTGCTGAAATTGTTAACAATTATTATATGTTGATAGGCCACCATGTTTTAGCCAAGCTACTTCTTTCTCTGTATTTTGATTTGCTGTTATTAGGAATGTTGTCGCCACCTAATGGTGCACTACAGGTATTTCAGATGTAAAGATCTAAACTGATCTGGATAGTTTCAAAACTGGTATTTTTTCACAGTGTCCACCTGTACTGTGTTATGGTTAGAAAAAAACCTCGTAAAAAACACTTTACAAAGTTAACATTTTTAAATTAGCCATTTCTGATGGTTTGATGTGAACAGATATATATAACGGCCTATTTTGTGCTAGCTTACTCTCATTTTATGCCCCAGAAACTAAAACAAACACCGAGCTGCTTTTTCCCCCTTTGTCTCTATTGTGCGCCTGTGGCTGAGTGGTTAGAGCAGTCCTCCTCCAATGCAAGAGTTGGGGGTTTGAATCCACCAGCAGTCACATGCCGAAGTGTCCCTGGGCAAGACACTGAACCCCTCATTGCCTCCGATGTGTGTCTCATTGGTGCATGAATGTGATAAGCACTGATTAGTCTCTTTAGAATGAATTGTTCAATTAGCTTTGCAGAGATCTAGTAGAGTGCTGTGTGAATGGGTAAATGAGGACACAGATTGTAGTGTAAAGCGCTTTGAGTGTCTTGACAAGACAGAAAGGTGCTACATAAGTACTGTTCAATTACAGTACTATTTCTGGGTCTGTTTTTTCTTTATTCTGCTCTCATCGCAATCAAGTTTTAATTGGTTGCTGAAATGGTTAATAACAGACAAAACTGTAAAAAAATCAGGATATGGGAAAAACAAGTTTAGGAAGAATTTTTAATCAAGTGAAAAAGTTCTTTCTCTATGGTTTGATACTGTATGTTGTTAGGGTTAGGGTTGTGTTCTCGCCACCTGGTGGCCAAGAATGAGTACTTCAGTTTTTGTTTGAATGTATGGATGAAGGAAAATAAAATTAATTTGAAAAATATCCAAAGTAGTGTAAATGACACTTAGTTTGTTGAAATTAATGGTCCATAATGACTGGCATGACTATTTTAGATTCAAAAACTCTAATGTGAATTTACGTTTATTCTGCAGTCCTTTGAGGAGGATGACTGTGGGAATGTTCCTGGCTGCCCTTGCCTTTGTGGCTGCTGCCCTGGTTCAGCTGCAGATTGATGTAAGGGAACCAAACCCTCCTGCTGTCCTTGGGTCAAAAATGTTGGAACACACCTGAACCTCATAAAAGTTTCCTTCATTTTCCAGCAAACTCTGCCTAACTTCCCATCGAGCACCGAGGGACAAGCGAAGTTCATCAGCATGGTCAACAGATCCCTCCAAGTAGAAGCTGGACAGCACAACTTTCAACTGGATACTTCCACTGTATGAACATTTGAGAACACTCGCACTAAGGCTGAATTCCATTAAAAGGGAAAATAGCCTTGTGTTTCCCCATTAAACAATATTTTACTGACACAAACACTAGAACATCAGTTTGATGTATCTGTGTAATACGTTTGATAAAATTGTTATCTTAACAAACAATAAAAAATATGTATATGCTATCATATTTTACTGTTAGAGAATGAAATTACGTTGATTAATGGTTTCACTTTGTGCCCAACCAGGAATATATGACCTTTGAAGAGCCATTTAGTCTAAACGTAGAGTCTGGTACCCCTGATTACATTAGTTTACCAGACGGCACTCGAAGTACCATCGTCATTGTTCAAGAGGGACCCCAACTCAGGAACTTGGAGGTAAGCAACCAAATGGGAAAACATTGTAGTTAAGGTAAAATCACGTTTCTGTTTTGTCCTCACAAGAACTCAAAACTAGTTCTCTTTCCTCAGTTCAGAGACATTACCGCAAAACCGGAGCAGGGTCTTAATGCTATCAGGTGAGCTTAAAGCTATTTTTTTTAAAATAAACAATAAGTCTGCAATTGTTTTAGTGTTCTTGTCTGTAAAATACAATATATTGTTTGATGAAGGTGCAAAAATACAGCATGCTTTGGAGTTATCTACTTGTAGTGCTAATAAAACTAGTGTGGCCAGCTAGCCTAGCATTCTGACTTTCTGCGAACACGCAATAAACTTAGGTGGGGCGTCATTGCTAACGTTGAGTAAAAGTGTTCAAAAGACAAGGAACAATAAACTCCAGCCTCTTTTAATTCTAGAGTTTTCTTAACCAGAACAAAGTCCAGACTTTGATCCAGCACCTTGTAGAACTCCATTAGCAGCAAGAACTCTCAACTAGACTTTATCGGCCTTTTATGTAGTTGTGGGGAAATTGTGGCTCACTCCTCTTTCCAGCGTTGCTTCAGCTCAGTGAGGTCCCACCACAGCATTTCAGTCAAGTTGAGGTCTGGACTTTGACTGGACCATTGCAGTACTGTACCATGATTCTTTCCTCTTTGGACCGTTCCATTCTAGATTAGCTGATGTGTTTGGGATCATTGTTCTGTTGCATCATAACCCAGTTTGGTTCAAGTTTCCGTTGTCAGACAAATGGCTTCGCGTTTGACTCTAGAAACTCTGACCTTGGGGGGATGTCTAGTCCTGGGCAGATTGGCAGCTGTCTTAAATAATTTTCACTTGTGAATATTTTTTCTCTGTGGACTCAAAATAGTTTGGACATGACTTTTAACCCTTCACACATTGATGGGTAGCAACAGCTACTTCTCTGAAGTCTTTGCGAATGGCTTTTCAGCTTGGTATTGTTAATGCACCTGTATGCACTCACCGATAATGCTCAGTTAGTTATTCAGTACATTCAGTCCGATCAGATTTGAACAATTGCAGAACCTGGTAAAGACAATAGTTTTATTAAGTCCCAATATATAAAACTCAAAAACTGCAAGAGGGTAGCCTTTCTTTGCCCCATGAATCAGAATCAGAAAAAGCTTCATTGCACCGAGATACGAGAACATGTACGTACAGTCGTCCAAAAGATGGACGTAGTGCACAAAGCTGCTACTAATTCACGCGGCCCTTTTATTCTTATTCAGAATAATATTTTTGCTTAGATGAGAAAAGGGATGAAAAACACAAGGAGAGACTGTATAAAAAAGATCTCTCACACCACGTCCTAGACAGGGCATGGTTTGAGGCATCAAAAAAACCTACCACTGCAAAGCAACACAAATAGACATGATACATATAGACCGGTGAAGGCATTGAATTTTAAGGGAAGGTCATAGCATAGTCCAGAGCCCCCCTCAGCCATTGTCCAGATAAGAGGTGTTTGTGAACATCAGCTCGGTTGAGGTTCTGTCACATGTTCACGGCCTTGGGGAAGGGAGGGGTGAGGAGACAGACAAAGCATCTTTGTTTTTCCTAAACGTGCCAGGAGAAGTTGAGATAAGTCCGCCGTCAAGGCCACAGTTTGACAGAACTCGTAAATTGCCATTTCTGCCTTTTAAAGTCTCGCTGGTACATTTCTCTGATGGTGACTCCAAACAGCCGAATTGATTCCTTACGCCGAAAGTCGAGCTTTCAGCTTCTCCAAGATTATTCCCAACCGTTCATGGGTGCTGCCAGAAAGTTCACAGTCCTGATAACAGCCTGCCCCAGCTCTCTGATGCAACTCCACATAATTCACTCTGAGTGCTGCCAAGCTTCGACACATCCACACAAATTTGTAGACAATCCAGATTTCACCAACCCAACCAGCAAAAAAACAGTTGTCATCATGAAGCCAATTAGTTTCCATTGAGGTAAGATGGTCCTCCTTACCCTGACTTCCTGTCGAGAGAAGTTGATCAATTTTGTTGAGACCAGCTGATCAAATCCTTCGAATTAGGAAGGTATGCAGGAAAAAAAAAAAAGAGGCTCTTGAAGGTTCACAAAATGAAAGAGAGCAAAGCAGGGAAGCAGGGGGACGGAACAGAAGAGGGTATATCTGTCTTCACCGGAGCATAGAGAGAGACAAAAAAAAAAAACCCTGACTGTACTGTACTTAAATTTGAAAATAAGAATTATTTACTACTTTGTTGTTTTTTTACCTTTTGTGTGCTTTAGGTTTTTCAATGGCTTTGGCTCCAATCTGATTGTATCAGTAAGTGGCAAAAACCATTGGGAGGTTGTTACCTTCAACAACATGTCTTCATACATCAATGTGCCACACGGATCGTAAGTTTTCCACCCGTCCATTCTTTTATTTGAAGCACAGTTTTAGAAAAGCGTGTTCTCTGCTCTGACTGGTATTTTGTTTTGGCAGGGCTCAGTTCTTCATCACCGACAGTGCTGGAAATGAGTGTATCCTCTATGAAAAGCTGGGCTTTGGCAGCTCTTACACAATTATCATCCCACAAACGTTCATATTTGGACAAACTGTAATTTGAGTCAATTGTGAGCCATATTTCAGATATGATAGGATAGTTTGGGTATAAACTAACATTTGTGAATGCTGTTGTGCTGCAGTGTATGCAAAAGATATGGCAAGTGGAGGACATCAAGCCCAACTCCATCCACATGGCCTGGCAGATTCCTCAGTATTTCCTCATGACTTCAGGAGAGGTGGTCTTCTCAGTGACAGGGTTGGAGTTCTCCTACTCACAGGTAAAGTGCTCTTATTAAATAGTAGAAAACCTTTCAAAGAAAAGGATATGGAAACAGTTTGAGGCACATACAGTAAGTGCATCTGTCCTGATGTCAGGTTGACCACGAATTCAGTCTTATTTTTGTTTAACTTCAGCTTTAAATCCATCACTTTCTGTTATCCAGGCGCCTTCCAACATGAAGTCTGTGCTGCAGGCTGGTTGGTTATTGACTGTTGCCGTAGGAAACATCATTGTGCTCATTGTTGCAGAGGCTGCAACACTCTCAGACCAAGTGAGTGGATGTTGCACTGTTCTCTTTGTTGACTTCATGCGTTAGATGCAAAACGAAGCAGAGTTTATATATACTTTTTCTTTTTAAATGAACATTGTATGTTCCTTGACAAAACGAGCAATGATCAGAGAATAAAAGACCCAAAAAGTCTACTTGTCAGACTGCGAAGGCCGCATGTTAAGTGAACAACAGTTAGGAACAAATGTGTGTTAGTGGACTTAAAGTTAGCAGAATAAAATTTATCAAAAGCTAAATGGTGCTAACTAGGGCTTAATTTGTAAACCGGTCGATACCGGAATGCAAATAGCGGGTGGGGGGTGCGGGGGGATCAGGGGTTGCAGGGGGTCTGTGGGTCCTCCCCAAGATAATTTTGAATAAAGTAGATGCCATATCTTGCATTCTGGTGTATTTTAACAGGTTGTTAAACATCTACGTTTACTTACATTTGTAAACGCTTTATTCAATAACTATTAGAGAGCAACAACAGCTCTCTCCTTGTGCATGAATAGAGCAGCTCCTCTTCTGTCAAGCATCCTAACGCCACCCCAAGACGATTCTTCTCCGCTGAATTGAGTCCTGAGCGTTGTTGCTCCTGCTCCATTTTTTAAAAAGAAAGTAAATTGGGCTGTCTTCGACATTTTGATCGCTGTTACTTTGACAAATTAGCGCCGTTGTTTTGATACGTGACGTAATGTGAATAATACATGAACATTTCTCTCGTTCTAATTTTAATAAATAATCAAAATTTTATTAATAAGCCACTTAAACTGGCAACCTGATTTGCAATTTAATTGTGCTGTTTAATTATATATTTTGTAGTTTTTAAAATAAAAATATGCAATGACTTTGGACTTTTAGGAGCAGAGATATGAGTTACCGGATCCGAGCAAACAGTTTTCAGAACGTGCCCGGTCATAAAAAAAAAGAGAGTTCCCGGATCTTGTCCCGGCAGGATCTGGCTCAAATTAAGCACTGGTGCTAACAGTTTCCAAAGTTAGCAAAACGCTAATCTACTAAATAAAATGTTAGCTTCGCCATTAGCTGTTAGCGGAACCGTGCCCAGCGTTTCCCAGTGGTTACTTGCCTTGGCAAGGCGCTCATCTCTTCCGTGATTTTTGTCAGTGGGCGTGAGGTGGGGGGGAGCGGAGGGAGGCAAGCCAAGCGCTACATCTGTAGCTTTTTAGCTAGCGTGACTGTATTGCACGCCGCTAACTTAACGCTACGTCAGTGCCGGCAATTGTAAAGTGGGTGGGGCGTTGGATTGTTCTGTAGGCAGGGCGGGGCGCCCTCCTTGTCTAATGGTAGGGGAAACACTGCTTGTCCATAACTGCTTACCAGTTGTAGAAAACATTTTGAACAACCTCAGGTTGGAGAAACCGTTTGAATCCAGCAGGACTGATGAGCTAACGCTATTATCGACACAGCTAAGTCCAAAGTGGATTGCGTTGGTCTAACAGTTTCAGAAGTTTGATCATTTTAAATCTAATTTTACAGTGATTGAGCAACTACAGCTTGTAGGACAAAACTTTGATATTTGACAACTCATCTAGCTTCCTCAGCCAAATCTTAGTGAGGAAGTCAGCATATCAATGTTGAAGTACTAAATCTGATCTCGGCTTGTGTGTGATTCTCTTCTCCAGTGGGCTGAATACATCCTGTTTGCCTCGTTGCTGGTGTTGGTGTGCATTATCTTTTCCATCATGGCCATGTTCTACACTTACACTGACCCAGCCAAGATAGAAGCCCAGTTTGCCTTCTTGGGGCCTGAGGACAAGGAGAAGAAGAACTTCAGTGCTTTGGAAATGGCAAAGAAGGCTGAGAAGAACATTTATGAGGTCGGCAAAAACTCTGATTTCAGCCTCAATGAAGAGAGCAAGAACACCAAGCTCTGAGTCAAAGGCTGCTTGGGTTCTGCTGGTACTCATTTATAAACTTGGCTGTGAGAGACCTGATGGAGCTGAAGATGGAAGGTAACGAGTCTTTACTCTGCAGTGGACAGTGTTTGTGAAGGATTTCAGTAATGGAGATAACACAATTCTCCACAGCCAAATTCTAAATCTATAGACGCTTTTAAGGTTTCTTGTAAAACTTAAACTCTGGCTCTTTATTAGCTGGTAAATTAAGCTCCGACCTATTCGTTATTGCGACAACAGTAATTTTTAGTTCTTGTAAGATGCTGATGTACAATTACCAAGAAACCATTCCAATATTTGTATTTATTTCCAAGCTCAGTATTGTATGTAAACCAATATGGTTGCCATGTATAAGTGGCGAACATCTTCTGGTGGTAATAATCCAACACCTAAGGCTGCTCAGTCAGCTACAAATGTTTAACAATGTATTTTGGCACGGGAGAATGCTGTTGTAGTGGCTGTTCATTAAAGTCTTCAATAAAGAAGCTAACAATGTGCTGTCTGTGATGGAACAAAATGAAGTTAAACTATTAAAGATAAAATGTTTATAGAAAACCTCTCAACTGGTGATAACATTTTTATTTTTTGGTAAAATATAAAGGCAAGCTCTTTAAGAAAATAGAGAAAATGTATGTTGCAGTCTCACTGAATACTACTGGAACCAGTGATAGCAAAGTTTTAAGTAGCCAGGTTTTGAAAATTAAGGACTATTTTCTTGTCTGGTTTGCAAAATTGTATTCAAGGCTGTGCACATTATTTTGATGCCTTCCAAACTTGGCAACCACCCTCACATTTTTCATTTAATGTAGTGGAGTACACTTCTGCAATTAAACGACCGGTTTAATGTAGATCCATCTATCCATTAACTTCCGCAAGTTCCAAAGTCGGGTCGAGGGGGCAGCAGCTTGAGCAGGGAGGTCCAGACATCTCTTTCCACAGCCACCTCTTCAGCTCTTCTGGGAGGACTCAAAGGCGTTCCCAGGCCAACCGAGAGACATAGGGTATTTTCACACCTGATAGTTGGGTAGACTCGGTTCGATTGGGGACCAAAATTCAGAACATATGTTTACATTTTCAGCTGGTGTGGTTTGTTATCACACTGCACTGAGTCAGTCGAGCCAACCTGTTCCCCCCCTCGCCTGTGGTGGCGCTGCACCAAGAACTACTGAAGGAAATGACACAAAAACCTCTGAAGAAGACACTTCTTCTGGATATACAAACATAAACGGAGTGGCGTCAAATTTTAGCAGTTTTCAGTTTTCTGTTTTGTCTGTGGCATGTGGCACATGTGCCAAACAAATATTTTTCAACAATGGACTCGGCATGAGCGGAAGATAAAGCAAAGACTAAGGAGAATGCTGTTTTTCACACAAGGTGGCTGACGGCTCTGTATGAGGTAAGAGAAATGCACATTTGTTTGCCCTGCGCTGTAGACCACTTCCTGCTTTTGCAGCGGTCTCTGGTCCGCTTGCATTCACAATACATTCAAACCACGCTAGAGTTCACTTCAGTCGAACCGAGACCTAGGTATTTAGGCGGACCAGAGTTTGCTTTTTTTGGTCCGCATCAGAATTCGATTGCACATTCACACCTCCCCAAACGAACCGGACTGTCTAGGCTAATGGACTAGAGTTCAGTTAAAGCAGACTAAACAGGACTGGTGTGAATGCACCCATAGTCTCACCAGCGTGTCCTGTGTCTTCCCTGGGGCCTCATCCCAGTCAGACATGCCTGAAGCACCTCCCTAGGAAGGTGCCCAGGGAGCGTCCTTACCAGATGCTTGAACCACCTCAACTGGCTTCTCTCCATGTGGAGAAGCAGTGGTTCTACTCCAAGTCTCTCCCAGAGAACTCAACTTCTCACCCTATCCAAAACAAGTTCAAGACAAAAACAATTGGACTTTATTTGTAACAGAAGACGTTTCGCTGCTCATCCGAGAAGCTTTCTCAGTTCAAAGAGCAGAGCGTGTGGGGTTTGAGTTATAAAGCTGAGATAAGATATACATACATATGCAGATTGACATATCACACCTCACAGTAGGTGTTTGTTAAGGTCTTTGTAAAGCCCCCAGTATACTCCTGCGTACGTCCGTCAACGCGAAGGTACGCATGTACGTACGTGGAGGGTTGAGACTTCATACTCGAGCGTACACCCTGAGCGGCTGCAGAGCAGCTTCGCAGACAAGGGGCATTTACCTTCGGGACAAATTGAGGTCGCCGATTGATCATTTTCTGACACGCCTACTGGATTGATTGACAGGTTGGAAAAAAAAAAAAAACAAGAGCTGGCAGCCGCAGCGGTATTCTGTGTTTATATGTTTTTAATAAAAAGTTCTTAAAAAAAAAAAAAAAAAAAACGGGGAGCGCTGGCCCTGCAGCCCACACATCAGACCAGCCCAACAGGAAATCTCCAGACCCTCCCACAGCCACGCCGGGACTGATTTTAATTTGCTCCTGACAAATTCCTTCATTTCTCACAATTTGTCATGGCATCAACGAAGGAGGAAGAGATCACTTGCCTCTTGGCAAGATAAACAAATGAAAAGGCTAGATCAGGGATGAAGAAGGGGAATTTAATACATTAGTGTCGCATACAAAACAGTCCGTCACCAGGCAGTTTAATGTGCGACACCGCGTACGTAAAAATTGAGCTTTGCGCGGACATGCCCAGCGGAGGTACGTGTGTACCTGTATACTGGGGGCTTTAATATAATTCACAGATGAGGCCCCTCTGGTCCCGAGGGACCTCGTCTATGAATTAGATTAACAAAGACTTTAACAAACCCCTACTGTGAGGTGTGATATGTCAATCTGCATATATATGTGTATCATATCTCAGCTTTATAACCTGAACCCCACACGCTCTGCTCTTTGAATTGAGAATGCTTCTCGGATGAGAAGCGAAACGTCTTCTGTTTCAAGTCCAGTTGTTCTTGTCTTGAACGTTTTTTGAATTTACCATGTCCTGGATGACTGAGAATCTTCACCAGTGTATTCTCACCCTATCTTTAAGGGAGACTCCAGCTACCCTGCAAAGGAAACTCATTTCAACCGCCTGTATACACAATCGCATTCTTTCGGTCACAACACAGTTTGTGGCCATAGGTGAGGTTAGGAACGTAGATCAACCGGTCAACAAGAGAGCTTTCTCTTACAACTCAGCTCCCTCTTCACCACAACGGACTGGTAATCTGCAATAACGCAGACGCTGCATAAATCCGTCTGTCAATCTCGGTGCAAGTTTAAAAACCAGACACACGGTTCTCCGTTAGCATTAGATCTTTATTTCTCATGTCACCTTGAAAGCTTACAAGGAGCTTACATTTAACTTGGGAATTCTCAAATGACACAAGCAAAGTTTATATACAGTACTATAAATCGTCAGCTATGGTAAAGGAGACCAAATTTACACTTTTTTAAATCTGTAGCGTGGTTCGTCCGAAAGGTATAGATATAATTTTTTTCGCCAGAAAGGCAGAAAGCATTCCATATTTCCATACTTAACTCTTTGCTGTTATAAAAATATCAGATATTTCTTAATTTCTTTTCAATCCCTGTGTCGACAAGCGCATCTTGATGCAACTCTTCAACATTATTGCTGCAATAGCACAGTAGTAAATTCTGGTACTCTTAAGTAAACATATATAGTAAAACATGGCTATTAGCAACTGTATTTCTTTTTCCTCTTATAGGATTTTTTTAAATACATTGACACTTTCAAAGTGCACAAAAGATTTGAAAATTAAAGGAAAAAAAAGGTGCAAATAATACTATGAATATCTAGTGGAAGCATAAAAGTGAACGTGGCACTTTTATAGCGAGTGTGAACGGAAATGACAGCAGTGAGGATTATAATTGTTGCAGGTTGGCTTGTTCTGAATTACCGTCTAGTTTGTCTGTTAGCAAAGTGTCTTGTAACATTCCTTGTTTTTACGAAGGGTTTTAATCACAGCTAAACCTGCGGAAAATATTGTTTTACTTCCGACTCCCCTTGCAAGAAAATCTGCAAGCAAAATTTGGCAAAAAATGTTTTTCTACGCTGGATGCCGTTCCTGATGCGACCTGGGCTCGAGCCTGCAGCCTCAGGATTACGAGACTACGGCGCAGCCACCTAAACAGCCATTGTTGTTCCCCTTAAAATGTCTATATTTTGCTTTGTTCTGCATTTCTCTAAACATGAACACAAATTTCCCTCCCGACTACAAAAACGAAGGAAAATCTCCACTAAAAGTAAACTTGGTATCGTAGTTAGTTCGATGATTCAGCAGGAGACTGAACCGAAAGATTAGGATTCAGTCATTTAAAACGTTAACCAAAAACACTGATGACTTATACTGACGAGTAAAAGAAAAACAACTAAACCGGTGATGAAATGCTCGATAAATCTGAAAAAGGCAAGGCATTTTCTGTCATTTCTCTTGGAGGAACTTTTGAGATGTTTAAATAACTACTTTTTTTTTTTTTTAAACTTTATTCATATCTACAAAATGAGCATGACTATTTTGTACACAGTGATTTCTTTTATGCAACTTGTAATCATGTACAGCATGGCGCCCCCCCCTGCCTCGGAGGACTTAAAGCACTTTACCTGAGGTTTCATTAAGAATGCTGCAGTTTGCCTAAACAGGGAGTTTTTACACAGCTTTTAGGCGCGGAGAACGTCCCTGCAGGTTCATGAAGCATGCTCTCAGAGGAAATGACGCCAGCATTAAGAGCAAGGGGAGGGAGAAGGAACTGAAGTCGGCTCCTCGTGCAGCAAAGACCATGCGGAGGGCTCTGCCGCGAGAGGCTGGAGGAGTGTCGCACGTGCACAGCCTGGACCTTTTCCCCATCTGGTTGCCCAGACTTTTGAGTCCCATTGCGTGCTGCATCCTCCTAACATCTCCTCTTATTAATGAAGAAAAGAAGCTCTGCCAAGTTCCTCCACTTTATAGAGTTTTTTTTTAAACTAATTTTGAGCACCCTTCCCCCAAAATGAGACCCAAAAATGGTGTCCAGCTGGTATGGACATGTATCCCTTTGACCTGGTTAGGGCGTTGATGGGACCTGGAGACGTGGGAGAGCAGGGCTGGGGCTGAGAGCCAATCTCTAAGGGGAGGAAGAGGATGTCCTGCTTGTGGAGAAACTGTAAGAAACGAGATACAAGGATGGAACAAGTTATCGTCTGAAACGCTGTTCTGTTGTCAACTTTCATTTGCCAAACAGGGTTTTTACCACTAAATAGGTTCCAGTGCTAAACCAGAGCTGGTTCTGCGTACAGTGCCTATGAAGAGTATTCACCTCCTTGGATGTTTTATGTTGTCTACCATCCGGCACTACGGTTCATCACTGGTTGTAACTACCGTACCCATCACTGCACTCTGTACTCATTGGTCAGTTGGTCATCATCTACACGTAGGTTCTCACACAGGTTCAGTTTCATCTATAAATCACTCCTTGGTCGGCTGCCGTCTTATATCTCCCACGTCATGTCGTCAGTGCAGTTACGGCGTGCGCTCTCGTATTCATTACCTGCAGCGTCCCCTCAGTGCGGAGTGAACTCATCAAAAAGGACTTTTCTTACTCTGCTCCTGTAACTCCTTGCAAAAAGATCTGAAGCTGTTTTTGATTTCTTTAAGAGATTTTAAACATTTGATGATGTCAATAGAACTATCAAGGCAAATTATGTTCTTGTTTTTAGTATTTTACCTTGTTTTATGTGGCATCTTGATTTGACTGTGTTTATAACTTCCTTTATTTGATTCTAATTGCTTTTTGTTGAATTATTGTTGTCTGTACTTTATATGTTGTCTGTCTAAAACAGGTCTCTCTTGAAAACGAGTCCTCGTGACTCAATGAGACTAACCTGTATAAATAAAGGTTGAATGAATGTGCTTTTTATTGTTTTTATAAATCCATCTTGGCTAATAAAGTTGGTCTTTACAAATCCTCGTTTAGTGTCAAAGTAAAATCACCTTTCTAAAGAGAAATACTAATTAAATTAAAAATATATCATGTAAATATTCACACCCTTTGAAGGGAACGTCCTAAGTTAACTCAAAGGGAAGTGCAAATTGGGGTATGAATACAAAAGCATTTCAAAGATCTAATCCAAGTTTAATCCATTATCAAGAAACTGAAGGAATATGGAACATGTGTAAATCTACCCAGAGCAGGCCATTCTTACAAACCGAGTGACCGTGCAAGAAAGAGAATAGTGAGGGGTCACCAAGACACCTGTGACCACTCTTAAGGTGTCACAAGCTTCAGCAGGGGGGACGGGAGAGACTCCACATACAACCACTGTTGCCAGAGATCCTCACCAGTCGCTTTAAGAGAAAAAGGCAAAGAGAAAGCCACCGTTGAAGAAAACTCATTAAATGTTAAGTATCTAAACTGCATAAATTAATTTGTTGTATAGGTTGTGAGTCAGTGATGCCATCAATTGCAAATTAGGTCATTAAACTTGTTCCTTTCAAAAACTTTGTCAAACCATGACAAAAAAATGTGTACAGTTTATACGAACCGTTTAAAAATTCCAGTTAATTCCCACATATTCCCATGGAAAGTTTGCAATTTGGTATATTTCCAAAAATCGTTAGTTGAACTTCCAATGGTAAGTTTCCACCTTTTTGCAACCCTAGTAGAAACAATTTATGTACCCAGAACAAAGGGTTTGTGGCTTTATTCCTCCAAACAGATGTCTTCATATTAGGGCTGCACGATATTATCGGCATGGTATTGGTATCGGTCGATATTAGCGATAAAGTTAAATATCGGACATCGGCCATTCCATCAAAATAACTCACTGATATAAAAGGCACTGTTATATATATATATATATATATATATATATATATATATATATATAAAACTTCTCATGCTGTGTTACACAACTTTATAGCAAATAAGCTTAAATAAGATGGCTATGTTCTGACAAAGGAAAGAAGCTGACAATATTTTTTGCACTTTTGATTTTATTTGCACATCGCAGAATTCAAAGAGATTTGATTTGATCGTTAAGATTATTGTATAACCACATATTGGGCTTCTGTTTTAAGTTCATTTTTAATTTAAGAAACTGTCAAGTATATCTATTAATGCACTACTACTTATGCGCTTTTTACTTGTCGCTTGTGAACAGGTTGAGTTTAGATTTGAGAAAATGTACAAATTTGCACTGTTCGAGTGTTGTCACTGTGTTGTAGAGTAACTGTCATGAATAAATTTGACATTAAACATAATCCAAGTTGAAGTGTTACATCATTTTTAGCCCCCTTTTTTGCATCTGCATTTGGTAGCAGGTCAAATTGACAAAGACCATGCAGAATAATGTAGTATATAGGGGAAAATATCGGTATCGACCAAATAGGTTTTAACATATCAGCATATCGGCCAAAAATCGAATATCGTGCATCCCTAAATTTATTTACTAAACACCGTTTTCAACAAGGATCAGTGTTGGCATGACTGGCATTTCTGATCTACAATTGGTATTTGTAAACGCTGGTGCGATCTGAGGTTAAAAATGCCTTTTTAAGTAGGATCTATAAACACCAGCTGGTGTTATTAGAAGAGACAAGAGTACCTGGGCAGGGGGGCACTGCTTTCCCTCTGGGGAGGGCCTGGGTGGTTCTGGGGGATGTCTGCTGGTGGCTGCATGCAGGCCCTCAGGTGGTCTATGGCGGCGGTCGTGGGTCACCGATCTGGTAGCCTGGCTGTGCTGATGTGGGTTCGGGGTGGGCGCGGGGGCTTGGGGTTCTGGGGGCTTGTCGCCCCCGGGCTTGGGCCTGTGGGGTTCGGGGATCTTGGGCTCTGGCGGGCGGGTTGCCGGGCTCTGGGCCGGCTTGCGTTCTGGTGCCCGGTTCTGGGCGGGGGCCTTCGGCTCGCTGGTGGGTTGTGGGTCATGGGCTGGGGGGTTGGGTGTTTGGGGGCGTGACCAGTAGCCCCTAGGAGGGGGTAGTTTGACCCAGCCTAGGTGTCTAGTGTGCTATGTGTTTTGAGAGATGTCCGAATGAGGGGTGGGTGTAGTATTTCTTCTGGAGTGGGGATGGGGTGGATGTCCTTGGGGGCGGCCCGGGACTGTGCATGGCCGGCTGGCTGGCCCCTTTCCTGTGGTGGGGGCTCGATCCCGGTGCTTCCTGGCACTGTCGGCGGTTGGGCGGGCGCTCTTGGCCGGGTCGTCCTGGTGGGGTTTGGCTCCATCTGGTAGCGGGCTGACTGCGATCTGTGGGGGTCCTGGTGGCCCTCGGGTGTGTAGGCTGCTGGTGCAGCTTCTGGCGGCCCTCGGGGCTCTGTCCCTCTCTGGTCTGGAGCTCAGCGGGCCTGACGGTCGGTCCAGATGGAGAGGTGTCTTGGCCTCAATCCCTGGGTGGACCTTGGGGGGCTGGGGGGGGGGGGGGGGGCTGTTGGGTCAGTGGGGGAGCTGACCCCCTGTGGGAGCATTTGCTCTCACAGTTATTTCTCCCCATCCCTCACCATGCACCTCCACCCTCTTCATTTCAATTCCATACATTTAGGGTTGTTTGGGCTCGGGTGTGCTGCAACAATTTTACATCTTTGTTGACCATAGCCACCTGGGACTCAATTTTATTGTACACCTTAGACATTCATTCATAACATCCTCATGACATTCATATATAGGAATTTGAGGTGGGCACATGGCTATGGGTGGTGGGATGACCTTACTCTCACCCCCTGTGCCTGTGCTCACAACGGTTGCATTTAGACACTAGGGTTTGGATAGAGTTGGGGTGGAGGGGAAACTGGCACCATGCCAGCCTTTGCTCCTTCTTCTTTCCTTTTTAATGGCACTATACAACAACACACATCAACAGCACATCTAGGGGTGGGGGTGTATGTGTCGGGGTCTTATTTTTAGTTATTTATTTATTTTATTTTATTTTTTTCTCCTCTTCCTACCCACCTAGTTCCCTGACTGCCATTCCGGGGGTGGGGTCCGGGAGAAGGGCAGGCCGTCGGGTGTTGACCAGGACTATGTGGGGGTTCAGGGTCTGGGGGTTGCCGTGGGCGGTGCTGGCGCTGTGCTCTCCCTGGGGTTGTTTGGACCCCCTGAGCTTGGCTCTTGGGTGCCATGGTTGGCCCGCTGGCCAGGGTGGCTGCCGGGGCCTGGCGGGCGGTCGGCTGGGGGTGCGTGCTTGGTTGTTGGAGGTGTGTGGGGGTGGTCGGTGGCGTGTCCTCTTCATGGTGGGGGGGTATCCTGTCGGCGGGGCATGGCCTGGGCCGGGTCTGGGGTATTGGCTCTTCTCCACTCAAGAATGAATGGGTTTACCCCCTGGGTTTGGGCATGGGCTGCCCCCTGTAGAGGGCGGGTACATGTCTTGGACCTGGGGGGTATAGAGTGTGTATCGGGAATAAGAATGAAATGTATCGTTATTGTATGTCTTTGAGTGAATGAATGTGAGATTGAGGTTGGGATAGTGTGATTGTGTATGTGTATGAATGGGTATTTGTTAGGCCGAGACTCGGACTGCCCCCTCTTTGATACAACTGGGGGTGCTTGGCATCGCGCCCCTATCGCGCGGCCCCCTGGTGGGGTGTGCCCTTGCCTGCCGGCGCGCTTGGGGCCCTTGGTATCGGGGGCTGGGCGCTTGGGCGTGTGTCGGCTCGGCCTGGTGTCTGCCTGGTGGGGCTCGGGTCCTCTGGCCCTGTCAGGCCTTGGCCTGGGTGGTGTGAGTCCTCGGTGCCCGGGCCTCGGTGCCTGGACCTGGACCTACATCGGTGTGGCGGGTGCCGACGGAGGCCTATGAGTTTGTCGCTGTTGGCCCCGGGGGGTCACTGTATGTGGTTGCTGGTGGGGGTCTTCCGGTTCTCCCCTGTGGTCCCTTCTGGGGGGTGGGTGGGTGGTTCGCCCTGTGTGGGTGGCTCTGGGGGCTCCGCGGTCGGGGTCCCTCCTGGGGTCTTGGGCTCTGGTCCCCACTTTTTCGTCTGCCTCTGGTCTTGGGGGTCGGGTCTCTGCTGCTTCACAATTACTAATAAATGTTCTATTAGAGAAGCCTTATACACTTATGCATGCTCACAACCACACACAAATAGAAGCAGGGATGTTTATGTAGGCTTTATATGTAGATATATAGATATGTATGTGAGTGTATATTCATGTGTATGTATGTATGTATGTATGTATGTATATAGGCGTAGGTATGGGTATATATATTTATTGAAACTTACTGCAAAGCCATGAATATTTTAAGTTCTTTATACATATGTATTTTGTTGCTGTGTTTTGTCATGTTCTTTGCAGGTGAACAGACAGTGGCCGGGTGTTTTGAAGTGTGCTCTATTTGTATATATTTCTTATATTTTGGAGTCTTACTTTGTCTTTTCTTTTTTTCTATCCTATTAAAAAAAAAAAAAAAAAAAAAAAAAAAAAAAAAAAAAAAAAAAAAAA